ACTTTAAATATTGGTTGAGGTATTTTATTTTTATTTTTAATATTAAAGATGGACTTTGTTTCGAATTCGGCTTCTTCCAAGGCTGTTTTTATATCAGATTTCGGTACGAAATGTTCTATACCTTTAATTACTACACTAACCTTTGCTACTTTTTAACTTATAGGTATAGTAGTTTTTGTTATGGCATCAAAGAAGTTTATAATTTTTATAATTTTTTTTATAATTCGTCGTTTATTTGGATTTTTGTTTCATGGACATTTCCTTTCAAGATTGGAATCACATAGAAATGTTTATCGCCAATGATGGATGTCATCTTATTTAAGAGCTTGTTCGAATTCTTTTTGCCTTAAGTAGATTGGAGATGGTTTATATGTATTGGTATTATTTCCAATATTATGGCTTTCAACAGTTGATAAAATTTCAAATCTATTTTAATTTAAGGAGGCGCTGTTTTCAACTAATTTTGTTTGTTTAGCTACTTGTCTAGATAGCTTTGTCATAGGTCTGCGTTTCCGCTTTGTAACAAGAATGTATATATGTATTCCTGTTTGAATTTTATTGCCGCTGTCTTGTTTAGCAGCATTTTGCATACTGTTTTTATCTTCAATATTGATAGACTCATGTTCGTAATTATTTGTTGTGCAATTTGGCAATTTTTGATTGCAAATATTTTTCTGCAACATTTTCTCTGCTACATGTTTTTCATTGCTGTTCTGATGTGCAACATTTGTTAATGGAGAATTTGGCAGTGAAGATCCACATTCAGCACTTCATGAAAAAGTTTTTACTGAGCATGCGATGTGAGAAGATCACTTTTGCGTGCAGAAGAAGACGGCAATAAATTAGTAAATTTATTTGTTTGTATACTTACTCTCCGAATAACTTGTTTATTTTATCTGAACACTCATTTTAGGTTTTTGTTTTAGTTTGGCGCAATATGTTTGTTGCTTTATTTTATATTGACATTAACACAAGCAGTGGAAGTTTAAACGAATTTAAGCAAATTTTAGATTTAAAGACCCGCACTTTCTCAATTTAAACTATTTGAAAGCAGAGCCAACATAGTACTGCATAGTACTTGTCGTTTCTCCTGTATAAGGGTTGCAATTTCGTTCAATGTATGGTAGTTTATAGGTTCAAAGCCACAACGTAGACAACGGTGTAATTATTTGCGGAAGAATTCACCCGAAAGGTCAGAGTATTCACTGTGGGGACTTGTTAGTTAGTTAGTTAGGGGACTTGAGTGTGCGTCGAATTGAATGCACCAAAGAATCTATGACAGAAGTGTACATAAATGGTAGACAATGTACAGCACTACTTGATACAGGTCTTGTACGGAAAACAGTAACGAGAACTATGAATGGACAAATCCAGTTATGTTCCATAAACATTTCGGGTTTCGGCGGTGGAGACGTGCGAGTAACTGAAAGGGTTAGGGCACAACTTGTCGTCGATATTGCTAATGTTGTGTCAAAAGATGTGGTTGTACAAATTCAGTGGAATACGTTCACTTTGGAGGAAACGTCAAGATACTTAATGGTAGGAATAACTACGCGGGATCCTATATCAATGAACGAAATCAACTGCGGAAGCGATAGCGAGGTAATACGACAAGAATTGCACAATCTCATTAATAGTAATAGAGACGTATTCATCATCAGCTTGAGTGAAATACGTTCCGACAACTTTTACATAAAGGCGTAAACTGTGAGTGGTCTAATGAGCAAGAAAAATCATTCAATGAACTGAAATCAATATTAACGAAGAAGCCAGTTATGACTCCTTTGCGATCGGATGCCAAGCATCCAGTGTATACTGATGCAAGCTCAATTGGGTTAGCAGGTGTGCTGTTACAAAATAAGAAGGACGAATGGAAACCGTTGCGTACTACAGCGTTAGATGATCAAAAGTTCCACAGCTACGAGCTGGAAACATTACTGTAGTCGAAACACTGGAGAGACTGTGTTATTACGTATATGGTAAACCGATCACGGTGGTGACAGACTGCAGTGCTTTAAAAACAGCGATGCAAAAACGTGAGCTAATTCCAAGAATAGCCAGGTGGTGGTTACGTATACAAGATTTTATATAAAAATAGAACATATGTTAAAAGTGCGAAACGAATGGAACACGTGGACGCACTAAGCCGAAATCCTTTACCAAATATTTATGAAAGCGACACAGCGGATATGCGTACTTTCAAGGTTAGATTAAACGAATAGACGTAAACCTTCAGAAAATAGTGGCTGAAGTCCAAGGCGAGAATGGACTTGAAAGAGATGGATATAAAATACATAACGGTCAGCTGTATCGTATGGTTGATGATAAGCTGAGCGTGAGCGTTGAAAAGACGATAAATCGAATCAAAACCCATCTATAGTTTCCATGAATGCGAAATTTCGCAAAGAATTATATTAAATCTTGCGTTAAATGTGCGTATAACAAACAGCCAGGGGGAAAAAGGAAGGAATTTACTATTTTCTGAAAGTGTGAAACGAAATATATATCTGCTCGTTATAGTAGATGCCTTTACGAAATGTACCATACTAAGCCAGTTATAAGCACCGCGACAAAACACGTACTCAGCGCGCTAAACGAAGTTATGAATTACTGTGGAATGCCAACGACAATAATTACCGATCGAGGGACTGCGTTTACAGCGAAAGATTTCGAGATGTTTTTTACTGGGAACCATATTCGACAAATTAAAAATGCAGTAAGAACTCCACGAGCAAATGCTCATGCCGAACGGACTAATAGAACAATATTATCGATGTTGTTACCATCGAATATGGTTGACAAACGATGGGACGACAATATGGTAAGATTGCAATGGTGCTTTAATACGATGGTAAATGCAACAACGAAATGCACACCGTACGAGTAGCTGTATGGTTATCAATCTCGTGATATGCTTCAGAAAGCACTAATTCTAATTCTAAATAACGACAAAACTCATCAATTACTACCCATCAATTAATGGATTTACGCAAACCGATTGCAGAATGAATTACTGATGAACAAGCTAAAGCTATAAGCTGATACTACAAGTATTACTTACAGCCAACGAAATTTAAATAGGGTGATCTGGTATTAGTCCAAAACGAACAGTGTAGCACGAGTGAGTCAAGGAAACTGCAGCCGCGTTATAAAAGCCCCTTCATTTTTACCAAAGTTCTCGACAAACCCCGATATGTAGTCAACGACATACCTAACTTCGAACGAATACAGCGGCAGTACACCTCGATGTATTTGTTCGATAAGATCAAGCGGTGGTGCCAGTTACCTTACGATGACAGTAGCAGCAAAACTGATGACGACAATGATGACGTTGCCGAATGCCCTAGAAAGAAGATTAAGCAAAAATGAAGTTGTCTGGAAGCAGTATATAGAATTTATGGATGAGTACGAAAAGTTGGCCCACATGAACAAAATTCATATCGAAGACATCATATCACATTATTTGATCCCACATCATTGTGTAATTCGATCTACCAGTAGTTCTTCTGTTTTAGCAACTTCTGTTTTAATTTAGACTTATCTAAAAGTGTTTTGGCTCTAGTGTGCGCTATTTCTAATCTATATTTAATTTCTTTACTATAGTCATCTACATTATATAATGGACTTATGTTACTAATTGTATTGAATTTATTGAAACCTTTAGGAATTTTTCCAAAAATAAGCTCGTATGGACAATATCCATGCACCACTGATGGTGTTGTATTAAAACAATATGTGAAGTATTTCAACCATATATCCCAGTCGTTTTTATCGACTGATATGTATGAACGTACATATTCATTAAATGTTCGGTGACTGCGTTCTACAGTTCCGAGTGTTTGATGGTGATGAGCTGTTGATGTTATATTTTTGATTTTTAAGTATTTGCATATATCCGTTATTAAAGAATTTTTGTACTCTGTACCCATGTCCGTAATGAACGTCTTCATTGGACCGTACAAAAGTATAAAATTTTCAAAAATTGCCTTGGCTACAGTATTTGCACTTTTATTTGGTATTGGTATAGTTACTAAGTATTTTGTTAAATCACATATATGTAAGTGTGACAGCATACTCATTGCCATTCTCAGTTTTAGGTAATGGACCAATGGTATCTACCAATACTGTGTCAAAAGAGCCTGTTGGCGTATCAGTTATTGTCATTGGTATTTTTGTATGATTATGAATTTTAGATTTTTGACATTTCTGACATGATTTGACATATCTTGATATATCTTTGGTCATGTTTGGCCAATAGAAATGTTTTTCAATTTTTTGTAACGTTTTTGTTATTCCGCAGTGTCCACCTTCCACTGGGTCATCATTGTAATTTTTTAAAGTTTTTCTTATTTCTTCCTCTTTAACCAGTTTGGTCACCTTTGGCTGTAGCGCTACTGATAAATTTTTCAATAATTTATTGCCCTTGGCCTTAAATTCATTTATTGAGACAATTTTT